TTTAAACTACTACTGTAAATTCAAACTCATTAAAAAGGGCAGATTTACTACCTCTACTTAGTTTTGAAGTCTGTTGTTCACCCTGTCCAAATAATTTATGAAACCAAATACAGCGGTAAGTAGTGTATTCTATTTATATAGTATTCATGGTGAGAAATAAGGGGCATGTAAAAAGGTCTGGAAATTAACTGCCATTTTAGCCAACCTATAGATCACACTTATTGTTGTTTCTAAGCTAGTAATTGTTTCCTGAAACTGATCTAGAAGATTTTTATGCTAATCTGTACTAAAAATTACTTTGCTTTTTCTGGCCACAAAAAGCTGGCTACAGAAGAACATTTGATTACAGCAGAAGACAGCTGCACCCACTCTCGTGGAGTAAATGGACCTGGATCTACAGTCCTTTGTGGTAGTGCCTTGGCAGCCAAACAAAGGTGGCAGCATTTCTACACCTAGTTTGTAAAGTCTCAGAAGATTTGGGCTTCACTTTTTTTTTTTTTTTACAAGGAACCCATGTTGACTATAATGAGCACATTTTTAAAGATGCTGTGCTGAATGTTGGCAATGGATAAAGCAAGAACATGAAAGAGGCCCATTCCTAAAGCAAATATTTCTTTTACAAATCTTAAGAATGAAGTGGCTTTCACAATCAATTTTAAGACTGAAGGACTGGATTGAAGTACCTAGTTCTGGCATTTATTAGCTATATAATCTGGGGCAATTCATTTACCTCTGTGAGCTTGATTTCTCAACTGAAAAATGGGGATAATTCTTGCCTGAATTTTTTTTTAGAACCTGAATGATATATAATCAAGGTGCTTTGTAAGTTCTAAAATATATAAATATTAAAAAACATTCCAAGTACAATTTTTGTATGTTTAATGAATTACTTTAAACAGCACTTAAAAAGTAGCTATCTCTAATATGAAACAAAAACCAGATCCAATTAAGCTACTGCAGAGGGGCGGGAAGTGGGGTCTCTTTCAACTCAATCAATTATCACTTACTTCATGGGGTAATTGCTAAGAGTTAAATAAAAATTACAAAAAATTATCAATAAAGTATTTGTTCTCATTAATTTACAGGTAACAAATCCTATGTTAGGCTCTAACTTTTAATCCCCCAAAATAAGAGTGGATATGTCAAAAGCAAAAATTCCTCCAATTGTATATGCTAAATCTTGAATATATTTCCTAGTATCTTTTAAAAAATTGTTTCGGTATGATATAGAATCTTTTAAAAATCACACAAAACTTTTATGGATACCCTATGTGTTATTTTAACTTCAGTAATATGATCCACTTAACTCTGTGAAGTATGTTTGTGTGTGTGTGTGTACAGCTGTAAGCACAACTGTAGTCCCATGAGCCAGCTCGACACTATAAGTTCTGTAAGAAAGCACATCTGTTATTGCCAGCAGTTAACCCAGAAGTCTGGCACACAATAAGCATTCAACTAATATTTGTGGAATAAATAGTGACTATACCAATTAAACCAACTAAAATTAGATTGATTATATTCTTTGCAGCCAAAGATGGAGAAGATCTATACAGTCAGCAAAAGCAAGACTGGGAGCTGACTGTGGCTCAGATCATGAACTCCTTATTGCCAAATTCAGACTTAAACTGAAGAAAGTAGGGAAAACTACTAGATCATTCAGGTATGACCTAAATCAAATAGCTTATGATTATACAGTGGAAGTGACAAGTAAATTCAAGGGGTTATATCTGATAGAGTACCTGAAGAACTATGGATGGAGGTTCATGACATTGTAGCGGAGGCAGGGATCAAGACCATCCCCAAGAAAAAGAAATGTAAAAAGGCAAAATGGTTGTCTAAGGAGGCCTTACAAATAGGTGAGAAAAGAAGAGAAGCCAAAGGCAACGGAAAAAAGGAAAGATATACCCATTTGAATGCAGAGTTCTGAAAAACAGCAAGGAGAGATAAGAAAGCCTTCCTCAGCGATCAATGCAAAGAAATAGAGGAAAAGAACAGAATGGGAAAGACTAGAGAGCTCTTCAAGCAAATTAGATACCAAGGGAACATTTCATGCAAAGATGGGCACAATATAGGACAGAAATGGTATGGACCTAACAGAAGCAGAAGATACTAAGAAGAGGTGGCAAGAATACACAGAACTATACAAAAAAGATCTTCATGACCCAGATGATCGTGATGGTGTGATCACTCACCTAGAGCCAGACATCCTGGAATGTGAAGTCAAGAGGGCCTTAAGAAGCATCACTACGAAGCTAGGAAGGTGATGGAATTCCAGTTGAGCTATTTCAAATCCTAAAAGATGATGCTGTGAAAGTGCTGCATTCAATATGCTAGCAAATTTGGAAAACTCAGCAGTGGCCACAGGACTGGAAAAGGTGTTTTCATTCCAATCCCAAAGGAAGGTAATGCCAAAGAATGCTCAAACTCCTGCACAACTGCACTCATCTCACATGCTAGCAGAGTAATGCTCAAAATTCTCCAAGCCAGGCTTCAACAGTACATGAACGATGAGCTTCCAGATGTTCAAGCTGGTTTTAGAAAAGGCAGAGGAACCAGAGATCAAATTGCCAACATCCGCTGGATCATCAAAAAAGCAAGTTGTTCCAGAAAAACATCTACTTCTGCTTTATTGACTATGCCAAAGCCTTTGACTGTGTGGATCACAACAAACTGTGGAAAATTCNATCTATGGATGTGAGAGTTGGACTATAAAGAAAGCTGAGCACCAAAGAATTGATGCTTTTGAACTGTGGTGTTGGAGAAGACTCTTGAGAGTCCCTTGGACTGCAAGGAGATCCAACCAGTCCATCCTAAAGGAAATCAATCCTGAATATTCCTTGGAAGGACTGATGTTGAAGCTGAAACTCCAATACTTTGGCCACCTGATGAGAAGAACTGACTCATTGGAAATGACCCTGATGCTGGGAAAGATAGAAGGCGGGAGAAAGGGATGACAGAGGATGAGATGGTTGGATGGCATCAATGACTCAATGGACATGAGTTTGAGTAAGCTCTGGGAGTTGGTGGTGGACAGAGAGGCCTGGCGTGCTGCAGTCCATGGGGTCGCAAAGAGTCAGACACAACTGAGCAACTGAACTGAACTGATTCACTGGAAGGACTGATGCTGAAGCTGAAGCTCCAATATTTTGGTCACCTGATGTGAAGAGCTGACTCAGAAAAACCCTGATGCTGGGAAAGATTGAAGGCAGGAGGAGAAGGGGGACAACAGAGGACAAGATGGTTGGATGGCATCACTGACTCAATGGACATGAGTTTGAGCAAGCTCCAGGAGATGGTGAAGAACAGGGAAGCCTGGCGTGCTGTAGTCTATGGGGTTGCAAAGAGTCAGACACGACTGAGCGACTGAACTGAATACCAACCTCTATCTAATCTTGCAAAAATGATAATCTCTGTTTCATCTATGGAGAGACTACCAGACTCAATCTACCTACCGTCCAAGAACAGAGTTTATGAAGATGCTTAACAAATCAGGGTTTTCAAGCTTTTAATAAATTCCCCAGTTAACTTGGAGAACATACATAAATTATGAAAACAAGTGGTGGGCATCTTAAAAGCTTAACCAATGCTTGCTACATGAATTGTTTTGGATGAATTATTATAGCACACTGAAAACAGGGCCCTATATTACAGTTCTGCCCATAATGATGAGGAGTCTATTATCCTTATCCCTTCTGAGCCAGCCTTGTGACTTGTTTTGACAAAAATATGTGGTAGAAGTGACGTTCTATGAGTTCTGGAGCCCACACTTTAAAGCTATTGCCTGTGCTTTCTTGTACTCTGAGACCAGAAGTGTTAGTAGCTCAGTCATGTCCCATTCTTTGAGATCCCATGAACTGTAGCCCACCAGGCTCCTCTGTCCATGGAATTCTCCAGGCAAGAATACTGGACTGGGTTGCCACACCATTTTCCAGAGGATCTTCCCAACCCAAGGACTGAACCTGGGTCTCTCGCATTGCATGCGGACTCTTTACTTCTGAGCCACCAGGTAAGTCCCTATAACCATGCCACAAGCCCAAGATAGAAGACCACATGGACAGGCCCAGTTGTCCCATCTAGGCCCCCAGTCAATCTGCCAAATGAATGCAGAGCCCAGATGAGACTAGCAAAAGAACTATTCAAAACTGGTGGTTTAGCTTTTTTTCTTTTCTTTTTAAGCCACTAAGTTTTGGGATACCATTAAGTAGTAATAGATGACTGATGATAAATTATCTCATCCACATAGCACAGCATGTGGTTTTACAGTTGAGGAAATATACCCAGATTATACAATCTGCCAAGGTCAAACCGCTACTTAAGTGTCCTAAGAACTAGATGCAGCTATTAAAAGGCCTGCTCTGTGTCTCCTCCTCTGTCATCCTGCCATCATGAACCTGAACAGTTCTGTCAAGGACAGAGGCACCTCTTACAGCTCTGGATATAAGAAAAACCCTGTTATCATTTTTATAGCTTGCATGGGTAATGTGTCCTGATTTGACACATCTGCCCTGCTTGTCTACGAGAAGAAAATGCACTACTATCAGTAAGACCCAGCAATCGGCAAATACACTCTCATCCTGTTTTCTGAAGCTCAAACAGCACTAACTTATCCCAACATAAACAATTCAATGTCTCTGCAATATTCATTCATTTACATTCTAGCCAGCAACAATTACGCAAAAGTTAACTATATCAAGGGTCATACAACATATAATATTTTAAGTTAGATACATCTTACATTTAATAACTTCACAATTAAAATGGTTTTTTTAATGCCCAAGTAGTAAACCATATACCGAAGAGAAAAGAACTTATCTTCAATTGTGAAGGTGATATTTTTGAAAAGAGAATTTTACCACAAGAATCTGTTTTGTCCCCACGAAAAAAAATGTATCTGAACTTTACACAAAATTCACATTTTATTTAGGTTGAAATAAACTATACAAAATTGATTTTCTTCACCAAAAATAACAGCAATATTTTCTGTATTATTCCTAGATAAACTACAAAACACTTATTTTTGTAGGCTTTCTAGGCTTTGCTTGTAAATCAAGACGAGGCANAACATTTGTATCACTATTTATACCATCTAAACATAAAACAAGTGCTTGTAGGAGGTCCACTAAGATTTCAAAAGCATCATGCCTGCCTGTCCACTGAGAATGGCAAATTTCCTTCAGTTCTTTGCCCCTTTCTTCATTGTTCTGAAAGAGGACAGAAATTACATTTTCAAGCTCTAAAAGCAGTTGTGGTGATCGATGAAAAAAAGAACAAACTTCCTCAATTGTTCCTAATGCGACAGATACTCCCATAACAGGCACTGATTTTGCCAACCACATATTTAAGGCACAGGAAGAGCAGAGTGTGTAGATAGCTTGGGGATATTTCTCTAAAAGTCTAGAAGCAACAACTTTCATTTTGGATGAAAATCCACTAGACACAATGTAAGCCTGGCCACGACAGTACTCCATGTTTAATCCCCATTTCTCAGTTATTGTAGTGTGAAATTTCACAGCCAAAATTTCTGCATCAGCTTCATAAGGCAGGAAGCCTACAAATTCCTCTCTCAGGTTGTGAGCTTCATCGACAAACCTCACCAACACAGGCAGGTGCTCTTCCCCCGCAATGTCCACCACATCATCAGTGATGATGGAAAAGAAGTGAGAGTCTCTCACCTCCCTGAGGGTCTCTTCCCGAATGCAGCTCTCGCAGATCTCTAGCATCTGTTTCTGCTGCGTCTTGGAACAGAACAGTGTGTTCACTGCTGTTGTCTCAAAGCGCTTTCTCAGAACCTCTTCACCAGAGTTGATCCGGCACTCCAGCAGTGCTTGAAAGTTATCAGGAGTAAAAAGACCTTCTGGGATTTCATCAGCTTCATGTCCATCCAGAGGTATGTTTTGCTTTCCCATAAGAATCAAAATTTCAAATAAAGATTTTAAATATTCTTTGTTTTCCTTCTCTTCAAGAGTTAAAGGTAAAATGTCCTCATCCTGCTCTTCACCCCCTTCTTCTGCACTGGGATTCTGAGCATTGCTGTTGTTTACTTCTTTACGTTTTGGTTCCTGTTCAGAAGTTTCATCAACTGGAAAACAAAGAATTAATTTTATAAACAGGCTCATAAGGAATCATACAAACAAAAAATTACATATTTGACTGGTTAAATATTTAAAATCCACAAATTCATTCATTCAACACTCATGAGTCACCTACTAGACCACAGATTAAGATGCAGAGATTAAATTAAGACACACTCTAGTGGAGGAGACAAACATTATGAATGAATATATATTCATCCTACATGTCAATGCTATTTTGAGAGGAACAATTTCTTATGAATTTAAGAAGGCATATTACATATACAGACGGTCCATGCCCTCACAAAAAGGACAGGAAGGACTAACATTTACTAAGGCACTGTGCTGTCCTCTACGTAGCACACTGCTCCCTCTACAGGCATGTTATCAACCCCATTTAACAAATGAGGACAGTAAATAATTGCCAAGGTCACAGATAGAGGTGAAAATTCAAATCCAAGCTTGTCTGGCTCCAAGGTCCATGCTGATACTTTTAAGCAATACTTTTATATGAGATGAGACAATACACTACAAATTATATTCATGCAATTTCTAGGGCTATATTAGTATATTATTAATAGAAATCTCAGCATAATCTCTTCATATGTGGATGGGATAACTGAGGCCCTGAGGTTAAGGGTTCTGACCATAGTCACACTCACAACCCTGTAAATCCTGGCCCCTGTAGCCCCTTTAGGTTCATTTTTTAACCATCATGGGTTAATAGAAGCTCGAACAACAAAGTGCATGTGTAGTTCCCCAAATCTGGCACCCAGTTTCAAGGCACAGAATATCCTTTGCTCCTTTCTTTGCCTGACTCCACGTCTCTTCATCTATAAAGGGGGAAAGTAATTGTACTTACCCCTCAGGGTTACTGTGAAAATTATATGAATATATGCAAAGCTCTTAATGACTTGGCACACAGTAAGCACTCAGTAAAAAGTTATGCTAATAATAGTAACAGTAGTAGGAAGAGATAGGAAAGGAAGATTAATAGTAATAATTGACAAGAACAAAAACTCCTCTAGTCCTCATTCTTTGGTGACACAGCTCAGGCATCAGCACCTGGAGAACACCTACTGTGACTCCTACTCTCCATAAAGCCAAGTATCTCAACAGCACTTATTCTTTAAATATTTACCAAGAACTGAGTATGCACCACAGGTTGCATGGACAGAGATTCGGCTCCTTTCCTTCCCTACAGTGAGATACTCTGCCTTGTGCCCTACCACACTGGGAGCACCTAGTGGAAAGACAGAAGGCCAAGTGCTTGGCATAGTGGTACTCAATAAAGACTAACTGAGCTAAGATTTTAGCTCACAGACAATTGCAGACCACAGGACAATGCCTACCACACTCTTACATCATTCTCACAGTAGGTTTTGGACATAAAACGTATTTATTTGTCCTTACCAGGTCAAGGCCTTTTAAAAAGGCATTCAGAAGTTGAGTCATTAACACTATCACTTACTTTTTTTCTGTTTCAGTGTCCTGATTTCATCTTCACTCTAAATGATAAGAAAAAAAGAAAGAATTATCTTTAAGAAAACTGCACTCCAGTATATCATCACAGACTCAAGTAAAAAGCATATTATGAGTCAAATTTAATTCTTTTCTTTTTTTTTTGGCCATGCCATGCAGCATGTGGAATCTTAAGTTTCCTGACCAGGAATTGAACCCATGTCCTCTGCAGTAGAAGTGTGAAATCTTAACCACTGGACCACCAGGGAAGTCCCAAATTTAATGCTTTCAAGAGCATAAATTCTTCATAAAGAATACATTCTTCAAACAGATGGATGGCAAGAAAACTAGAATAATCTGCTAATGACTCCAAGTTTATAATAAAATACAAGAGGGTAAAGAATACATTATTTAACTTACTTTATACCTAAATCATCATAATTTGGGGTTACAAGTATGTGCTGGCTAATAAAAGGCATGAACATATATGATGGCACTTGAGGTCAAACTCAAGGTCCATAAATCATGCCCCCTCCCCAAATCTAACCCAGGGGATGTCATGTAAAAGGGATTTGCTGGATCCCAGAACCTAACATGAAAGCTGCAAGAAATCTCTGGGAAGGAGAAAGTGACAATGCCAAAATGGAAGAGAAATGGATACAAACAGCATAGAGAGCCAAGTGACATATTCAGGCTTAGACTGGGGAACTTTCCAAATGTGTCCTTTTCTCTCCCTCTAACCCACAATAATTATTAGATCACAACCCACCCCATTACTGTTGTAGGGCATGAAAGCAGCAGTACCAGTGGCAGCTAGAGACAGCAGGGTACCTGCTGGGAAGCACAGGACATGGTACTGATAAAATGTCAGCAGGTTAGGCAGTCTGGAACATTCCCTCCTTATCCTATGGGCTGTGGAGTTACAAGGATGGCAGATCTGGAAGAGTGTGCCTGTTGTAAGATATCTGAGGTTCCTTGAGGGGCAGAGAACAGGAAATGATAGCTACACGATGGGAAGTGATTGAGCTCCTCACCCCTGCTTCATGGTACTAAGAAAGCTGATGTGCAGTGTCAGCATTCATCTATGAGAAGTCCCAGAAAAAAAACAGAGCAGAAGAAAAGCATGAAGAAATAAAAACTGAAGATTCCTCAGAACTGTACAGTATCAGAAAAAAACCTCACATTCAGATATAGTTTAGTGAAATTTGAAATATCAAATATGAAGAAAATATTTAAAGGAGAAAAATGCATTCACCTAAAAAGGAACAAGAATGAGACTGGCATTGACGTCAACAGCAATAATGGATGCAAAAAAAATTAGAAAGAATATCACATAGACTATACATACCCTCTATGCATAAAACATTTGGGGGCATAAAGTTTTAAAAAATAAACCCATGTCTAGAAACTAAAAATAAAAACAATCTTACGTTAAAGAAACAGGGGAAATTATGAAACACTCACAGTTGAACAATGAAAGCACTACATGTCTAAAATTATAGGATACAGCTAAAATATAGACATTTATAGCTTTGAATATACATAAATAAGTTAAAAATTTAAGAAGCTAAAAAAGAGCCAAAAAATAAATCCTTTGAATCAAGCAGAAACCAATAAAATAGTTCATAAGTATGGCAATCAGTGATAAAACTCACTACTCTTTCTTTGAAAAGACTATTAAAGTAATTTTAGGAGCAGAGAAAGGCAAGCATCTAAAACTCTAGGTGAAGCTCATAAAGTTTTAGAAACATATAAAGCACAAGAAGAAAGAGAAACAAATAAATAAATAGAAATGGTAATCAAAATATTCCCTCATCCACCCAAAGCCCTCTGATGGTTTTATCAAGTTCAACCTAACTTTCAAGAGCAGACAATATCTACCTTATACAAGTTTTTCTAGGATAATTAAGAGAGAAAAAAAGAAAAGTTATCTAACTCATTTTATGAGGCTGACGGATCCCTGATATCTTAACTGTGTAAGAAGAACACGTGAAAAGAAATTACAGGCCAAGACTTATAAATGCAAAACTGACCAACTAAATCGAACAGTATATGAAAATGAAAAGAAATATACTACAATCAATTGCACAAAGATGGTTCAACATCAGCAAATCCATCAGTGTTATTCAGTAAGCATTAAAGAAGAGGGAAAAAAAGAACAGATGCAATGAAAATATTGATAAGTTCCGTAAGACACAAAAAAAACCTCTGAATATGAGGACTGAAAGAAAATAAAGGGTATTTCTTTAACTTGATAAAAAAAATTACCTAACAATACCAATGGAAACATCACATTTAATGGAATCAGACAAGTGTATCAGCCATGACATTACTGGGACTACTCAATACAGTTCTAGAGATGATCCTGACCAAACAATAAGACAGGCAACAGAAAACATTAAAATTGGAAGACTGAAAGAAGAGGCAAATTTGTCCTTATTTATAGATGATACAATCAACTACAAAGAAAACCCAGTAGACTATTAGAATTAATCTTAAAAAAAAAAAAAAAAAAAATCTGAGCAATGNAGAAAACTGTAAAAAAAAAAAAAAAAAAAAAGATCTTCAAAATTGGTGGAGGGACTTTCCTCGTGGCCCAGTGGCCACCTTGCCATGAAGGCTGCACATGTCTGATCTCTACTTGGGGAAAGAGGACCCCATATTCCATAGAGCAACTAAGCCCTTGTGCCACAATTACAGACAGTCCATGGACCACACTAAAAGACCCCCACATGATGTAACAAAGATCCCATGAGCCTCAACTAAGACCCAACACAGTCAAACAAATAATCTTTATAACTGGCGGAAACAATCTTTTAACCAGAAATACATACTCTCACTGTAATTTAGGAAGTAATTAAGGAAGAATGTACACGTTCTCTTCTAAAGAACAACAAAAATCCTGAGAATTTTTCAAAATTTTACTTTCTGCACTTCTAAATTATTATAATTTTTTTTGTGTGTTTATTTATTTGGCTGCACTGGATCTTAGTTCCAGCACACAAGATCTCTGATCTTCACTGCAGCATGTTGTTTAGTTGCTCAGTCGTGTCCAACTCTTTTTGACCCCATGGACTGTAGCCCACCAGGGTCCTCTGACCATGAGATTTCCCAGGCAAGAATACTGGCGTGGTTGCCATTTCCTTCTCCAGGGGATCTTCCTGATCTAGGGATCAAACCCAAGTCTCCTGAAAGTCTCCTGTATTGCAGGCAGATTCTTTTACTGCTGAGCCACACCGCAGCATGCAAAATCCTTTAGTTGCGTGTGGCATGTGGGGTCTAGTTCCCTGATTAGGGAGTAAATCTGGGCCCCCTGCATTGAAAGTGAGGAGTCTTAGCCCCTGGACCACTGGAGAAGTACTGTTTTGAAAGTATTTTAACAGTCTTTTCAAAGAACTAGTAGCTTTGTCAGTGACTGCTATGCTACTTGATAGCTATTTTATTGTATTTTTTTCATTCATGGATATGACTAATTAACATTGTAAAAATATTAGTTCAAAGTATTTATAATGAAAATCTCAACAGAACTTCTAGAATATGACAAAAGGATTCTCAAATTCACATAGCAGAATAAAAGTCTACAAATAGCTAAGACAATTTTGAAAAAGAAGACTTAAGAAATCACTCTATTTGAAAATGATGTAATACAAAGCAATGTAAGGAGCAGCATCTTATCCAGGCTGATTAACAGACTATGTTGGGAAAACTTGATCCTTATAAATAGAAAGGTAAATTAGGTCTCTACCGGACACCATACAAATTCAAATGGATCAAAGATCTGATTATGAAAGATAAATATAGAAGAAAATGAGGAAAACTAAACAAATGTTATCTTTAAAAAGCACATAGCCAATGGATTGAAATGACTCATTAGTACACGAGCATGGATACAAAATGGAGGAAGGTGAGGAATGGGAATGGTAATAAGGAAAAAAATAAGGGGCTTCCTGGTGGCAATGATGACAGAAAGCCATTGTCTGAGGAGTCTGAGTAATTTCATTTTGTTCATCTAAGGTCAACAAAAACCAGGTAGGTTTTAAGGATATCAAAGGTTTATAAAAACATGCACAAAGATGCCACAGAGAGAGACTTAAAAGTTTTATAAACCCTGTCAGTACTTAATAGTGATGGAATCCTTATCTCTAGTAAAACTACCCATGTCTTAACTTTCACTCTTTCCCTTTCTTAATCCCTGTGTGCCAAAATATTCTAGAAATATACCTCAGTCCCACTTTCTTTACCACAAAGGAAGAGGTGAGTTTTTTTCCTGCTTCCCTGGAAGAAAATGATTTAGTAGCCCATAATTAACAGCATGAAATTAACATGAAATTAAAAGATGCTTACTCCTTGGAAGGAAAGTTATGACCAACCTAGACAGCATATTAAAAAGCAGAGACGTTACTTCGCTGACAAAGGTCCATCCAGTCAAAGCTATGGTTTTTCCATTAGTCATGTATGGATGTGAGAGTTGGACTATAAAGAAAGCTGAGAGCTAAAGAATTGATGCTTTTGAATTGCCGTGTTGGAGAAGACTCCTGAGAGTCCCTTGGACTGCAAGGAGATCCAACCAGTCCATCCTAAAGGAAATCAGTCCTGAATATTCATTGGAAGGACTGATGCTGAAGCTGAAACTTCAANGGACTGCAAGGAGATCCAACCAGTCCATCCTAAAGGAAATCAGTCCTGAATATTCATTGGAAGGACTGATGCTGAAGCTGAAACTCCAATACTTTGGCCACCCGATTCGAAGAGCTGACTCATTTGAAATGACCCTAAAGCTGGGAAAGACAGAAGGCAGGAGGAGAAGGGGCCAACAGAGGATGAGATGGTTGGATGGCATCACTGACTCAATGAACATGAGTCTGAGTAAACTCTGGGAGTTGGTGATGGACAGGGAGGCCTGGCATGCCGCAGTCCATGGGGTGGCAAAGAGTCGGACACGACTGAGAACTGAACCGAACTAAACTGAATTAACAGCATACTTTGGCTCAAGTCAACAAGTATCAACTGGCTAAATTTGAGGAGGACTTTCCAAAGCAAATACTAAAACAAACTAAACATTTTAGGTCCATGCTACTTCAATAACCATGGCATTAATCCCCCATGCTACACCTGATATAGAAAGTAACTTGGTTCAATGTTAACATGAATGCATCTATACTTGACATCATAATATTATAGAAGATAGAAAAGCTGGAAGCACACTGACATACCAATTCTTTTATTCGTTTTCTGTGTCTACTATGTGGATTATTCAAATGACTGGTAAGATCGAATATTGTTGGTATGGCATTATCTCGGAGAACTGTCCGGTAAGGACTCTGAAAAAGAAAAATGGGTTAATGCAGAAACAGTCCTTAAGAATACATTACACACAAACAAAATTGATTGTTAATGATTTCCCCAGTAGTACTTCAACACCAATTCTAAAGCATAGAGACTTGCAGAACTGATGATGTCAGTCCAGATCAGCTTTCTAACTCCTTTTACATTTGTCCTTCTGGCAATCTTACTATTATAAATGAAGGAACTGAACTGATGATAGGCATAAAAAGTAAAATGTATTTGTATTTTATAAACAGTTTTCTAATTCAATCTCCCAGCTACTTTTCTGTTCTTCCATGAGCCTACAAAGGAAAGCAGGCACAGAAGTTTCTCAAATTAGCTATCCTCTTTTACATTTCATAATAACTCTTCCCTCCTTTACCTGCCACTCACTCCTCTTTCGCTACTATCAGTGAGAAGCATTAAGGCACTGAGAAATAATACTGACGAGGACCCAGGAGACCAAGAGCTTCCCTGGTGGCTCAGGCAGTAAAGAATCTGCCTGCAATGCAGGAGAACCAGGTTTGATCCCTGGGTTGGGAAGATCCCCTGGAGAAGAGAATGGCTACCGATTCCAGTATTCTTTTGTGTGGATAATTCCATAGACAGAGGAGCTGGCGGGCTACAGTTCATGGGGTCAAAATGAGCTGGACACTACTGAGCCACTAATACTTCCACAGGAGGCTTAGGGGCTAGTCCTTATTCTACCTGTGACTCACTCTGAGACCATGGACAAATACTTTCCCTTTCTGGACTCAGTTTCTTCTTTTGAATAGAACTCAGGTATTGAATTTCATGAAGTTATTCATACACTAATGATCATAATGCTCGCCATTTCAGTTACCCAACCACCTATACTTTTTCATAGTTGACTCACTTTTTAAACTAACAAAATCTTAAGGAATAAAAGCTACAAAATAATGATTTGATGAGCCAGTTATATTTTTAACACATATTATAAAACTTAAGATAAAAACTGATTCATGTGCCACTTGATATATGCCACAAGTGCCACTTGATATGTGCCACTCATATGCCACAAGTTATACACATAATCACATTTTTGCAAACACTGAACCAGGTATTTCTAATAATAGTTTTATCACTGAAGGGTGACCATTCTCTATCCTTATAACTTTATTCAACCTGACTAGAAGCTGGAAGCAAATTTAGATAGTGACAGTCTCCCACAGCCAGACAGACCACAGGTCAGGTAGGGACAAGAAGTTTATTAAGAGGTAGAGTAACAGATGAATAACTGCTACTACATTCCTTTAGCTAGTCCAAAGAAACCATGCCTTTAATGTCTTCCCAAATTTGCACTGATAAAAACAAAACACTTCAGTTTAAAAAGCTTTTGTGGGAGCAATGATTGTTTCAAAGCTAATAAAGCACATTCAAAGTATATGTCAAACAAAAGTAACAATCCCCATATGTTTTTAACTCGAGGAAAGAAGGTTAGGAAAATATGATGGAAAAGTATATAATTAAAGACAACACACTTAAGTTTTATCTAAAGAACTGTTAAACACATTTGGGAAGAATTTCTATTTCTATTCAACATTTTATAGTTCAATCACAAGCCTCAGGGAAAACACAAAGAAGAAAATCTATTTCTTAATGACATTCAACTTCTAGTGCTGGGCCAATTATCCTCAGTCTACTATGGAGTTTGAATCAGGGATTGATACGTACACAATCACTGAAGGGCACAAACACAATACCACACCCTAAGGGCTTTAGCTTTCCTGCTTAGCAAACATCTCAAAAAGCAAAATCGTATCCATATACAGAGTCAAGTCTTGATACCTTCCAATTAAATAAACAGAGGAGGGATAAAACACCGTGGAGAACTTTAAAATTTCATATAAAATTAATCTGTTATAAAGCAAAGGTATTATAGACCAAAAAACAATACATGAATGAAAAACATGCAATATTTTTACACCTACTCATAAGTACCCATGCCAAATAAGGCTACATTCTATTCCTGTGCATGACAATTTTATTCAGTATCAAAATTTAATCTTTAACTGCTGAATGAAGGCTTGAGTATAAAGTAATGATCTTACTTTAGCATCAAAGATAATGTTTGGTTTTGGTTGAACTAACCACAAATGTTTACTGATGAGTTCTTAAATGCCAAACTAATGAATTCAAAACTCTTACAGCATTTGGGTATAAACATTAGATAACCCAGATTTTAATAGCAATATCTTCTATATGTGGAGAAAGAAAATCTCTCACATTTGCAATAACTGATTCAAGATTTAAAAACTATGTGGAAATTTAAAAAGTAAAAATAGTTCTGTTCTATGCTCTGACTAAACAAGAATAGAAGTGAACTATATATTTTATATTTTTCACATTAATCTTGTTGGAATTAACTGATTAAGAAATGGCATTTATTAATAAAATAAAAATTTTTTAATGCATATGGCATGTGTATTCAAAATAATTTGGGATATTTTTATTTAATGTCAAGAACATAAAGTTTGCCTTTTAAACAGATGAAATTTTTTATTTTGATCATTACCCTGTTAACAAAGCAAGGCAAAAATATCCCTCAAATATTTGTGATTAAACTGTTGAACCGGAATAGGCTCACCTCCCAATGACTTCACAAGTATCTGCTTCAATTAATTTTGAGAAATAAAATAACCCAATCATTCTTTAGTTTTCTGATGCCTCTGCAAAATGTATCTGAAAAAAATATCAAAATAAATTGCTGCATAACAATATATAGTGTATCTTCAAATTAAATTTATGTCTATCCCAATAACTGATGACAGTTATGCCTAAACAAGAATATTTGCTTTCATACCTAAGCAAGAATACTTAACAAAACTGTCTTCCTAACTAGTTTTTAATTGTTTCAAGTCTGCTTCATTTCAATCAAATCTGTCTTATCTGCCTTTTATGAATCAAAGCAGTAACAGAATCACAGACGGTTAAAAATCTTAGACCTCAGGAATTATCTGGTCTAAATTCCTCATTAGAAATTGGGGCTCAGAGAGGAGAAGTGACCTGGACAAATTCACAGTTAACTGTAATAAGACTAAGAGATTCAGGTCTTGATATGAAATTGCAAATTACTGATGAAAATGTTTTTGTCACATGAACTGTATAATTTGCTTCCTGTTGTATCCAGCACATAAAAATTAAGGGTAGGTTCTAACAGTACACACAAAAATTTGCAAAGAGCTCTATCCCTTGATGAAGATTTCACTCATATAAAAGCTCTAGAGAAGCTGTTCCAAATAAAAATGTCAAATTCACCTTAAACATACACTTTTATAATCATCTAAAATTTTATGAAGGCTGCAAAATAAGTTTAAAAAGTGGTGACCTGTGATAAAGTGGGAATAGGGCATCAGAAATAGAAGGGTTAAAACACACACACACACACACACACACACACACACACACACACGGAGGTTTTTAAGAACAAAATAGGTATTATTAAGTACCAAATCTGTCTTCATCTTAAAGGAAAAAATAGTGGCAGGGTGTAAGGATACGCTCCAACATTAATATATAAAGATTTACATTTCCAACCAAATAGTGAGTGAAAACAAAACAAACAAAAACAAACCCTCTGCTCACTTACAGTTCTGCAGATCATAGAGGTCTCAAAGTGTTTGGCGCACAGTCGATAATGTTTGTTTAGCTGATCAGGTGTTTTATCTTCTAAGTCTGCCCTCCTACAGTTCTCCACCCACTTCTGGCATCTACAAAAATAGAGCCAAAATAAAACTATGGACTATGAGCTCAACATGTAAATTTCAGCATTCAGTTTTAAGGTAAATATCTGTTATGGACAATAGATTTCTGCTCCCCTAGACCCCGAAAATATAACATAATTTGAAGAAGTTGATTAACAACAAAATGAGAGCTGGAAGAAACCTCAGAAATCATTTAGTACATTCATTTACAGACAAGGTTAAGAAGTAACTTGTCAGTCACGTACAAAATTAGCAGTAAAACTAGAATTTAAACTTGAATCTTTCAACTCCCAAGACATCCTAGCATCAGAGAGGACTTAATAATCGGCAGCACAAGCAAAAAACTGCACAACCATGAGGCCAATAGCTTAACATTCCCACTAGGATTTCAACTTAAACAAGCATATGAAAACACATTGTCACTGTAGAAAATCACTAAGTAGATGTTCTATAAATAACTATAGAGTTTATTACGGAAGCATAATGGCTATATTCATTTGCTTTATTATAAACATGATTATCTATAATGATACGTGCAAACTAGATTGTAAGTTCCATGAATGCAGGGATTGTGTCTACACAATCTAGTACACAGATGGTGTTAAGAGATAGTGACTGAGATAAAGTCCATGTCCTCTAGGTGCTTAAATATCTGTAAGGAAAAAATTAACATCATCTTCATCACCATAATGTTTATTAAGCCCTTATAAAGAGTCAGCTGCTGCTGCTGCTGTTTAGTCACTAAATTGTGTCTGATTATTTGCGACCCCATGGACTGTACCAGACACTGCTCTAAATTGTTTCCAAAAAGGATAGAAATGTTCTATTCATCTAAAAGAGCAGAACTAAGCTCTTGGTAGAAATTTCAGGAAAACAAAATTACCATGGTGAAATGTTGATTATCTAACCTAAAATTGTAAAGCATTTCATTTGACCAAGAGGTATTAATTACTATACACAGTAACGATGCCTAAGATGTCTGTATTTTAATCACATTCTTACATAGTTGTACAATGTGATTATAAATATTTCAATTTCAACATCTTAAATTATTTGGTATAAAAACTCACTATAAAACAAATGTCATATTGCTAGAGTTAAGTTTGCTTTTTAAATCTTAAATCTCTGGAGATCTTCCACACAGAACATCACTGTCTGTATTATTTCTGAACCAAACTGAAATAGCTTTCTGATAAAAAGAACACTCAGATTCAATCATGAATAAGTTGAGCAGTGGGCCCAATTAACTACACCTACTTGTTCCATATCAAATACGTAGAAATAAATCTAATGAAAGATATATAAGACTTCTAATAGAAAAAACTTTTAATTTTTATTGTTTCTTTTAGAAAAAAAATTTAAATGAATAAATGGAGGGATACACAAGCTCATGGATTGGTACACTGAATCCTAAAGATATCGATTCTTCTCAAAATGCTTTATTGATTTAATACAATCACAATGCCAACGAGTTCTTTTATGCGTGTCTCTTCGTGTGAGAGAGAGAAATGACAAAGATCATTCTAAAACTTTTTATATAGAAATTCAAAGGATCAGCACAGTCAAGAAAAATCTTGGGGGAAGAAGTCGAAAGACTTGTATTACCAGACAGACTTATAAAGCTTATTAAAGCTGTGGCACTGGACTTCCCTGGTGGTCCAAAGGTTAAGGCTCTGAGCTTCCACTGCAGGGGGGTGCAGGTTTCATCCTAGGTCGGGGAATTTCCACATGACTCAAGATGAAGTAAAAAAAAAAAAAAAAGCATGTATCTTAAAAAAAAAAGTGTGATATTGGCACAAAGGTAAAAAAATAGAACAAAATGGAGAGCTGTGAATGCTTAAGAAAAGGAGTCAATGCACAGTGGTGAAGTTAAAAGTTTTTCAATAGTCCTGAATTGGCCATCTGTATGGGAAAAAATGAATCTTGACCTGCACTTTCATCTACGGAAAAATAAATTCCAAGTGAATTATAGACCTAAATATGAAAGGTAAAACAATATAGTTTCTAAAAGATAACATAAAAGACTGTCTTAATCACCTTGACACAAAGAACTCTTAAAAAGTCAACAGAAGAAAACTCCAGCGGAAAAGATGAATAAATCAGGCTACTTTATAGTTAATAACTTATTCATTAAAAGAACCATTTAAGAGTGAAATGGCAACCCACAAAATGGAAGAAGGGACCTGTAATATACCAATCTAACAATGAACTCATATCCAAAATATATATGAAGAACTCCCTACAAATAATTCAATCAAATGTAAAAATGAGAAACTTGAATAGGCCAATAGACATGAAAAAAAATGCTCAGTAATAAGAAAAATAAAATTTTTTAAAAAGCTCAATCTCACTAGTCATTAGGAAAATACTAATTAAAACTGTAACTAAATTATTACCAATACTGGTAAGAATGACTACAATGTAAAAGAAATAATACTAAATGTTGATGAGAAGGTGAAACAACTTTGCCCATTAAGGATAGAAAGGATAAACTGTGGTATACTATTACATACAGACTACTATTTTGGCAATGGAATGAACTAGCTAGATCTCACAAACGTGTTGAGCAAAATAAGTCAGGGGTACACAATATATAATTCCTTTCATATTAAGTTCAAGGGTAGGCAAAACTCATATATGGTGATTGTACAGAAAAAGAGTTATTTAACACAGCAGGCCTCAAGCTGCTATCTTCAGAAAGACTTGTTTGTAAGGCTGGTCTTTTGGCTGATGTTGGAACTTGGCTTCTCTACACTGATATAAAAATTTCCTCTAACTGATAAGGTGACTTTTAGTGCCTTGACTGTTTGTGCAAACAGTATGACTTTTAATGAAAGTCTGTCCTTTTTCTGGGAGTCTGGAATTTTAGCATATACTAAGCAGAGAGTGTCTAAGTGACCAGAACCCAATAAAAACTTTGGGCACTGGGTCTCTAAGGGCTTCTCTGGCACAAATGTTGCATTTTCACTGCTGGGGAAAAGTGGACTCTGAGTGACCAGACATGGGAGGGAGAGAACATAAGGAAGACTACACACAGATCCTTCCAACTCTACCTCTGTCTTTTCCCTCTCAGGATGCAGATGTGTGCTCTTACTACATTGCTGTAAGAAATCTTAGCTGTGAGTACAACTATATACGGACTATATACAGTACAGCTATATACTGAGTGCAACTATATACTGAGTTCTATGAGTCCGAGTGAATCTCTGAACATGGGGGTGGCTTGGAGACCCCCTCAACATAGTAATGATAGTGAGAACAACGGATACATTTAGGGAGAGGTTAACAACCAGGACTGGGCACTTTCTGAGGTGCTGGTAATGTTTTTGATCTTGAACATGACCTGTGTAATTTACCTTACAAAAATTCATCAAATTCTAGACTATCATTTTTGCACTTTTCCCTATGGATGTCATATACCAATAAAACAGCTTCCCATCACGCTTCCCCTCCCCCTCAATAACCAACTAATCTAATGTGCATGTAGTCAAACAGTGCCTACCACGGGGGACAGTAGGATAATAACTGAAAGGACCACAAGGGAGAGGAAGTTTAGGATGTTAGTAATATTCTTTTTTTTTTTTTTAATCTGGGCAAAATTTTCATGGACATGTTACTCTGAAAATCTAACAAGCTATATACTTATGATTTGTGATCTTCTGTGTATATATGTTTTACATCAGTAAGTTATAAAAATTACATATGACCACAAGTCTTTCTTTACACAGCACATATACACTTCTACAGTTATCTCTCAACCTTTTTTTAAACCTAATGTTTTCCTTGTCCTAGCTCTCCCCGTCACTGTTCTGTGTCCTTTTTTTCCCTTGGCACAATGGAATGATTACCCAAATCTATCAACTTCCAAACTGGTCTTACCTTTCTGTGACCTCTTCTCCTAGTGGAAAATGCTTTAAAAAACCAATTTGAGAATACTATCTTTCTCTGATTAAGATCCTTTAGTGGCTTCCCATTACTCTTAGGATAAAGAACCAATTCCTCACATGTCTTACAAGATTCTGTACAATCTAACCCTTGTTTTCTCTTCCCTCTTCATATCACACCACCCTTTCTCTTTGCCACCTCACATGCCTTATTTCAGTTTCATGAATGCACTGTGATTCCTTTTATCATAGGGCTGTTTCCCATGCTGCTTATTCAACCTAGAATACTCTTCTTGTTGCTTTTTCTTCACTTCCTTTGCATAGGAAAATCTATACAAAGATCTGTCTTTATATCTTCACTCATATGTCACTTACTGAGGAACATTTTTCAGATTTGAAAAGAGTGTGTACATCACACACACACAAACACCTAGGTAGGTAAGACTATTCTACCTCCATGTACAGTAGTCTCCTCCTTATCCATGGGGGATACATTCCAAGACCCTCAGTGGGTGCCTGAAACCACGTATAGTACTGACCCCTATAAATACTATGTCTTTCCAATACTAATGGGTAAGTAGTGTATACAGTGTGGATAAGCTGGACAAAGGGCTGATTCACATCCAGGACAGGACAGAGTGGGCCCATGTAAGATTTCATCACAGCTACCCAGAACAGCTAAAGGTTATGAATTTCATCCTGCCAAATCCAAAGGTCACTTCCTGTCTTCAACTTAATCACCCTTTTAGTACTAGTCAACCATCACTGACCACTCCTTTTCAAGGTTTGAAAGTTTTTCTTTCAATGGCCTCCTACTAATGCAAGATTTCCAAAACAAAATTCCAAAGAACACTAGTCAAAGAATTGCTCCAATTTAAAAAAAAAAAAAAAAGGTTTCATGGTCAAATAAATTTGGATAATATTACATACTTTATCCTGCATTTGGGGTTTTAGATATTTCTCTGGGATCTTGAATAATTTAGCTAATCTCTCTGTGCCTGCTTTTCTCATCTGAAAGCAGAGACTATCTCAAAATTTATTGCAAGGGTTAACTGAAATAGTCTACATAAAACATACAGAATAGTGCCTGACACACAGAATATGAAGTATTCTATAAGTATT